TTAGTCCACCTCAAGTATTCACATCTTCTACTGAAAATCCACATCTTCTTCCACTGAAAACGTCTGCAATGCCCTATCTCACAGGCATGGCCAGTTTTTAAAGAAGCCAGTCAAACGTTTTCCAGTGCCGTGGCAGGGATAATAGCAGCCATAAGGGACTGAGAAAGAAAATGACAGCGCTGTATAGGCTGCATACTTGGGCTGTGCTGTGTCTGAAAAGATCACAGCAAAATAGAACGAACCGAGAATGAAGAAAGGACTATTGGAGCATGTGTGGATCCTCCTCCAAAGAGTGTTCCACTTTGGATGCCAAGCAGAAGAGAAAAATCTCAGCTGAGGCAGGGCCCCCTGGACAGGAAGATCGCAGGAATAGCTGATCTAGTGTTAGCAGGCCACTGGTGCCCTCTAGAGGGGTACATAGGCTATAACAACACATAACACGTCTCCATTTCCGGTCTTCTAAATTAATCGACAGATAATGGCAGTGACATCAGTATGCTCATGACTTCTGTGTTTTACATATTATAAGGACTTACCTGCATAAACAGCCATGCAGACCTATAAGGCAGCGATCTGGAGCCGGCTGGTCCACTTCAGAATATAAGAACCTTGCTGGATCACAGGATCACAGAGTCGAATGGGACTTCCAGAGTCATCTAGTCCAACCCCCCCACAGAATGCAGGAAATCCACAAATACCTTGCCCCCCCACCCCCAGTGACCCCTGCTCTATGCCCAGAAGAGGGCTAAGGCAGCGATCTGGAGCCGGCTGGTCCACTTCAGAATATAAGAACCTTGCTGGATCACAGAGTCGAATGGGACTTCCAGAGTCATCAACCTCCCACAGAATGCAGGAAATTCACAAATACCTTGCCCCCCCACCCCCAGTGACCCCTGCTCTATGCCCAGAAGAGGGCACACATACACACACCCAACCTCCAGGATCCCTGGCCAAACGGGCCTGGAGAACAATTGCTTCCTGGCCCCAAAGTGGCAATCAGCATTTCCCTGGGTGTGAAAAAAATCAAAGGTCCACCAAAGGTCCACCAAGACCAACACTGGCCAATCAGTTGGAACCTGGTGGAAGGAGCTCCCGGAGGAGATCTGGGCCCTGCGGGACCTTTCTCAGTTCCGCAGGGCCTGTAAGACGGAGCTCTTCCGCCAGGCTTTTGAGTAGGAGCCGCCACCACTCCAATTCCACCACCGATATGTATGCAGCATCGCATCACTACCACTAATATGTGGTTCCATCTTGGTGCGAGGTGACCCTGGAAAGAGAGGGGCCGACAAGTTGTGGGACCAATACCATTCGAGGAAGTTCTACCCCATCTTGCACTGACACTTTGTTGTTGTACTGTATTATTTTATTGTTTTAGACTGTTTTATCTGTTTTAATTCTGTCACTTGTGCCTCGTTGTTAGCCGCCCTGAGCCTTCGGGGAGGGCGGGATATAAATCCAAAAATAAATAAATAAATCAGTTACCCTGGAAAGCTCACAAGGAGAGCGCAGCAGCGTAAAGGCCGAAGGTTTCCCTTGTTATTTGTCCTCCCCATCCCCATGCCGGAAATGGCATTCAGAGTCATATGATCTCTGCAGTGGAGGTTTCACGCGGCCATTATGCCTAGTGGCCTATCCCCAACAACTGTGTCTAGACCCCTTTTGAAAGCTTTCCAACCAAACACATATCACCACCACCTCCCACAGATGAATGATGCACTGTATGAAGCAGCACTTTCTCCTGAATCTCTTCCTCCATCAACTTCAACGGGTTCTCTCAAATGCTGTTATTTTGGAAGTGGGAAAAAGTTCTATACTTTCTACTCACCATGTACGATTTTATGGGTCTCTCTCATGTGTCGTCTCCCCCCCCCCAATCTTCTTTCTTCTAAATGAAAAAGCACCGAAATCTCTATCCTTTCCTTGTAGGGAAGATGATTCAGCAAACTGAGCTTTAAGTGAACTACCCCAACCTGCGCTGTCTGAGGAGGTTGTTTGTTTTGCTCCAAAGCCTGTCACGTTATACTTTAACTTGCCTAGAACTTATTTTGCCGAGCTGTTCAGCAGAAACATCCTATCAGCACTTCCTTCTCCATTAGCACGGGTTTATACTCCTAGGGGCTTAAAGGGGAACACAGGCTCCCCACCAGCAAGGAGAGTTCCCCTTGCAACAGAACTCACCTTTTCTCTCTCTCTCCCCCTCTGCAACCTCTGCCCACAGGTGTCCCCCATAACTACAGGATCCACGCTAGTCTCTGCACTGGCTTCTCTGTCTTTCGGTCGTTTGCACGTAGCCCCAAGGCTCAAAGATAAACTGCAATTGACCCCGGCAAGCTGCAGTACACAAGTATGGGGACAGCCCAGGTTGCCAACTCTGGGCTGGGAAATTCCTGGCGATTTGGGGGTGGATCCTGGAGAGGGGCTTCAGGGAGGCATAATGCCAGAGAGTCGACCCTCCAAGGCTGCTCTTTGCTCCAAGGGAACCAATCTCTGTAGTCTGGAGATCAGTTTTAATTTGGTGAGCTCTCCAGGCCCCACCTAGGGGTTGGCGACATTTCCATCTTACTCCGTGGGTGGCCAATGGTTCCTGCAATGTATAGGCCTTTCCTCTAACTCTCCTGCCCCCCCCATGGATATTTTGCCAATTAAAAAAAATGAGTCTCCAATACAATTTTCTAGAGACGAATTCGTCAGCACCTTTAATTAACACGTTCCAAGGCATTCGTAACCATGGACTTTTTAGCACATGGGCTTCAGATCAACTGAGATTGGTGCCAGACGGGGCCGGTGCTCCAACGGCCACCCCCCTTCCCCAGCCCCCCCCCCTCCCACTGCCCAAGAGTCATAGCCCGCCACGGATCCAAACCCATTCAAATGCATCAGGCTAAAGCATTTCGTTTACGACAGCAACAAGACTCATTCAAAAGTTCCCAGTGGACAAAAAGTTCCCCTCCAATGAAGACTTTCTCCATTCAAGCACAGTTACGGACCGTAGTGGGATTTCCCCACTATTCTCACTTCCACGTTTCAATGCTTGTTTGAATTATCTGGGATTAAAACACCGGTTTCCAAACAGCAGTGCCGAAGCTGGCCTCTTGAACAGCACGTTTCACGGAATCCAACTTCTAGCTGGCTGCTTTCAAGGTGTGGGAGGGCCATTAAAGACGTGGGCTTGTTTGCAGGCTGTGTCTTATTCTGGTCTGGGGACCAGCCAGTCTTCTCAATTTCTCAATTTGCCAAAAGGTCACAGGAAGGAAGGAAGGAAGGAAGGAAGGAAGGAAGGAAGGAAGGAAGGAAGGAAGGAAGGAAGGAAGGAAGGAAGGA